ATTTCATTGCTTTTTCATTTGATTATTCTATTTGGGTTTTGGATTTTATAGTGACAATTTTAACTTTATCCTGCAAGATGGGCGATGGGCGTTGTTGGTGGACTGGTGTTGGTTTAGGAGGCGACGGGTGATGTTGGTGGACTGATTTTGGGGAAGGAAGGTCGGCTAGTGGTGGACGAGATGTTTTGGGGAAGGAGGGTTGGGTGGTGGTAACTATTGTAGGCGCGCGATGGGCAACGGTGATGGATTGATTTTGGGAAAGGAGGGTCGGCTGGTGGTAGAGGAGATGTTTGGGGGAAGGAGAGTTGGGTGGTGGTGATTGTTGTAGGCAGTGATGGACGATTGTGGTGGATTGATTTTGGGGAAGGAGAATCAGAAGTCGTCTTTGTTCTTTAATTAAAGTTCTTTGGTCATTAAAATTAATTTCCAAAGATTTTCTAGATGGTTGAATTAACCACTCAAATTCTATTTCTTTATGCTCAAGATAATATGAGAATAAAGGATCAATTTTGAACTCTTTAATAATGCAATAATAAAACAAGAAAATCATATTGATCCTAAGCTCAATATGAAAATTGATGGTTTTTTAGGATTAACAATTACACTTACTAGAAATATTCTAGCAGAAAAGTGCAAAAAAAGATTTTAGTAAGAGATAGTAAGCGAGTAATTGCTAAAAATCCTAAACTCTGTTTTGAAAATTATCTCAACAGGATACCAGGACAATATTGATGTATACCATCCAAGAAGAAAGAAAAGAAAAGAAAAGAAAATCTTTTAAAAAGAAAAAAATTTATTTTTAAAAGATATAAAAAACGACATAAAGAAAAAAAATTTAAAAGAAGAATTGTTTTTAAAAAATCCCGGGGAAGGGAAAAACAAAAACAAAGAATGGATAAAAAGAAATTTTGTCCTAAAATAAAAAAGAAAAATTGCAGATGTTGGCTCTGCAATAAATCTGGACTTATGCTAATGAATGCCGAGCAAGACAAGGAAATGAAGAAAGGATAAAACTTCTAATTACATTCCAAAACAAAGGCTTCTATCCAGTAGAAGATCCTAATGATACAGAATCATTGTATTACTTAACTACAGAATCTGATTTGAATATTCAGAATCAGAAACATCTGAAGATGAGTAATAAAAATATTACAAATCCAAATTCAATCTATATACCTATAAAACTAAGTTTTGAAGGATATAGAAAAATTAATATTCATGCTTATGTAGATACTGGAGCATCAGTTTGTACTGCAAGTAAATGGATAATACCTAAACAATTTTGGGTTACATCTAAAAAAATCTTAAAACTTAAGATTGCAGATAAATTTGAAGTTAAAACTTCTAAAGTAGTAAAAGGTTTAGATATTGAGATTAATAGATATTATAAATCCCAATGGAAAACTTTTTATTTTAAAGTGCTTACAATTTACCAATTGGAAACTGGAATTGATTTTATGATTGGAAATAACTTTTGTCAGTTATATCATCCATTCATAGAAGAAATTGAATTTATAAGCTTTAAACTTAATAGTAAAAGACTATGGATTCCAAAACAAAGAAAAGTCTTAGCTATGAATACTTTAAAAGAAAAATTCTTGGATACAATGAAAATTGATAACAAGAAAAAGAATTTTAAAGAAATTCAAGGTGCAAATATGGCTTAAAAGAGTCATATCTTTATTACTAAAGAAGAAAAACAAATTGGGAAAGGAGAATTGGGTGGTGGTGGCTGTTGTTTGCCACGCGATTTATGCAACGTGATTTTATATCGCAAGTGTACGGTGTCAAGTTTTGTAATATAGTATTAGAATAAGAGTGTCGAATTCACAAGAATTGATATTTAAATCCTATTGAGTACTATAATTATTTCAGATTTCATTTTATTTAGAAAATCAAACTTTAATACGATATTTTTATGCTAAATTAAAGTAAATGGGATGAACGATGCAAGTAAACGGTGACAAATTGTAAAGTCTCTATTCAAATTATAAAAGTCTAGGGAATGATTTCACTGTACTATCAACAATATTTTTCAACCTTTATATTTATTTCTATCAATCTTTCCAAAATTTATAAGTAAGAACACTAAATTGATTCCATTTTCCCCCTCTCGAGTGCCAAATAGAATCTATCTCTATATTTTAATTCTAATATTTCTATTCCGTACTAAAACATAAAAAATTATCAAGCACGTGATTCTTAATTTAAACAAACCTCAAAGATTTTGCACTTTCTCTCGAAACCTATAAAATCTAAGTTATGTTGTTTTAGACCACGCCTAAATTTACCTCTCTCGAGCGTCAAAATTTAAAGCATCAAATCAGTCAATTAGTGACCAATTAATTGAAAGCATTGCACACGAACAACATAAATAAATAAACGGAAAGATCAAATGAAATAATTACATAGGAATTAAAATATGTCTAAGTAGACTACATCAAATCTTTAGGATTAAAGTCTAGTTCATAATTGAGAGAATCGGCATGAATAAATTATAAAGAAAGAACATGGAAAAGAAAAAGGATTAGAAAAACTGGTTTTGTTGCTGCTCGACTTCTTATCCCAAAGTTTGCCAAATTCCCTCAAATAATTTCCTCTTTTATTTATTCTTCAGCCGTGTCCAATTGTGTCCAGCTGTCCTACTTCAAATTGTTGTAATTACTGGCTGAATCTCTTTTAAATCTCCTGGTGGCTAAAGTTCTCTTCCAATTCCAGATTTCTATGTTTTTGCCAGCCGGCTCCCCCTTTACTCTTGGTCATTCCCCCTTGAACTTGTGTCTTTAGGATGGTATTTATATGCTCTTCAAATCTTGGAAAGAATAAAGTTGGATTGGGCCGTGAGGAGAGTCCAAAGATTGTAAAATTCTTCTCTCGCAAAGTGGTGCCTTAGCGCCCAATTTGGGCACTGCGACACCATGATTTCTGCATAATTTCAGCAAGTTGGGTGTCGCAACGCCCGGTTTGGTTGAAACGACATTTTGCACGTTTTTCAGTATTTTTAGCATAACTTTCTCGTTTAATGTTTGATTGAGGTGATTCAAGATGCGTTGGAAAAGCTAATTCAAAGGGATAAAACTTTTCTTAAGGCATCATTTGGCCAATTTGATTGTTTGCTATGTCAAAAATGAGTTTCAATATGAGGCTAAAACTCCAGAACATAAATTGTAGGTTGAAAATTGATTTGTGATCATATTTTGACTAAATTTGATGCCTTTGATATCTTTTTTTTATCCAATTGACTCTCAACACTCTTGGATCTTCATCACGAGGTTCGACACAACTTTTGATTAATTATATTTTAGTCCCTGAACTTTGAATCTCTTACAATTTGGTCCTTTCATCTAATTTCGCCAACTTTTCCCTATTTCCTTCAATTTAATCAACCTATATCACAGCATCAAAATACACATTAAAACGTTCTAAAACATTCTCAAGGGTAACAAAATAATGAATTAAGTGGCATAAATATAATGAGTGTGGAGCACTCATCATTGTCGGTGGCAACTGGCGATGGTGGTGGTGGTTGTCGACAACGACGACAATGGTGGTGGACTGATTTTAGGGAAGGGGGTTGATTAATGGTGGACAAGATGTTTATTTTTTTTAAAATTTATTTTTATTTTTTAGTTTCTTAATTTAATTTTTTAACTTATTTAATGTAAGGAAAATATATAGTACCAATTTACCCTTTCTAATTTGGTCGAAATTGATTAAATTTTGACTTTTCTGGTCAATTGGATGGTTTCTATCCATTTAGACCTTATATTTTTGAAAGGTTTGGAACTGTAGTTGGCACATATTGAAGGTTAGGATAAAATTTGTAAAAAAGTGAAGGGTTAGGGACCACTATTGTAATTTTTTGTAAACCCACTCTCTAAATTAAAATCACTTTTTAATGAGGGGGTGTTTGTGCCCTATTATTTGTGTATAATGTATTATGGAATAGTGATTGAGGTTGAAATGTGTAGTTAAATAAGAAGCTTTTTTTTTTGTTATTTACGTGTACTATTATTTTAATGAAGAATGTGTGGTTGAAAATAAATATCGTAGAAAAAATAATATGGTATAAAGGTTGACAAACAAAACGTGAGTGTTCTCATTTTTCAACGATATTTTAATTCTTAAAAAATTACAAAGTGTACAGTGTATTGTCAGACACTTTAATTGTTGCAAGGCCAATGCCCTGAGTACAGGGCAATTATCATACAGGGACCTTACAGACCTCTCATTGCAGGAGGTAGGTCGATTGGATTGACTTGCATAAAAAAAAGAAAAAAAATTATGGGCCCTGCCCCTTGTGTGTGTTCTGACAGGGTCTCTGTCCGTACGTGAATCACAACTCTACTTGCAAAAAACTTTTAAATTCAATAGAAAAAAAATACCGCCATTTTTAAAGCCAATTTTCAAAAGTAACCCTCGCATTCCTTCACTTTTAAATAACTTCCACCATTTTATTTGAAGGATAAACTGGGAACATCAATTCTTGGACCTGCAAATTTTTCCAAAAGTCAAATTTGATGTGTTTTTCTCATAATTTCCAACAATGTGGCCCCCCCAGATTTAGAAAATGAAATTGGCCAAAAAAATCATTAAACGCTCAAACATACGCTAATTATTAAAGGGGTTGTTTGAGTCTATTTTTTTTTTTAAAATACACTTTAAAATAGTATTATAATGAAATATTTATGATTAATAAATAAAAAAAAATTTTAAGTTTACGTGTAATATTATTTTATTGAAAAATAAATAATTAAAATAATGTCCAATTACTATTAAAGAATGTATTTTGATGAAAAATAGGCTCACACTCTGTATAAGTCTGCCCACTTCTAGCCCCCATCCAATGTCAGTACGTCACTGGAATGGGCTTCTTGAATGCAGACCCACAAGGCTAAAACAGTAAAATCAGATGCTCCAAACTAGAAAATGCCAAAAGCTGCTTCGCCCCCGGTGTCAGTGGGGCTGGCTTTCTTGAACGCAACACCAAAAGTAAGTCCACCCACGTTCTGCATGTTCTCCTTTTGCTTTTCATTTCAATTTTATTTCACTTGCAGCAGTCAAAATCAGAGAATTGTTTGTCTGTTTCCCCCAAATGATCCATCTCTCCAACTGTTAATCGTAGGAAATCATGTCAGACGCTTTGATCAATGGCCTCGCCGGTGCTGGTGGTGGAATCATCGCTCAGCTCATTACCTATCCTCTCCAAACTGTAAAAGATTCTCTCTGTTACAATTTCTGTTTTTTTGGTTGACGAGTTGGGCTTTATGTGATATTTGATCGTGGTAGGTGAATACGCGGCAACAAACGGATCGAGATCCGAAGAAGGAGAAGATAAATCTTGGGACTGTAGAACAAATGTTTCAGGTTTTTTCCCTTTTATGAAATTTTAGATTACTTTTGTTTGATTGTCCCCCTTTTTTGTTATATTTATGGAATTAGTGAAGAAATCTATTTATAGGTTGTGAAGCAAGAAGGATGGGGTCGGCTGTACGGCGGTTTAACTCCGTCCCTGGTCGGCACTGCTGCGTCTCAGGCGAGTTCATTTTACCTCGTTATATTCAATTGCTGCTAATCTGGGACACGTTCATGAGTTATTATGCGACTCTCTTATTATTGCTCAAATTTGGTTGTGCATTTTTCTCATAATGTTGGCATCAGTTCTAGATTAAGTAAGAAATGGAGAACAGAAATAAAAATAAGTTGTGATCAAAGGTTTCGTACTGCAGGACTGGAATTCGGTTCTTGATGCCCAAAAAAAAAAAAAGCAAAGAATTGCTTGTAAAGTAAGAACATTTTGGTTATGAATGGTGATAGTCTTCCCCCCCCTTAAATTTGGTAAACGGATTGGAAGTCTAATTGTCCAGGTAGTCAGGTAGCAGCGTTCTGCCGTGGAGGGACAATAGATTGATGGGCATAGTTGGCAGGCTGGGTGTTATGTGGTCCCCTGGAATTGGCAAGTGTGCCATTGCTGCAAACATTATTTGTGAAATTATTTTCACCTGCTTTATTCTGTTAGTTGCTTGTCAATAGTCCATCCATGTGGTATTTCAAGAAAAAATAATAATCAATATTGAAACAAGATAAATTATCCAATCCTAATGAATTTTATGCACTAAGCCCCTAACCCAATACTGTAGTGCTGTTGACTGGGCATTGTGGAGAGTCGGAGCGACGTAGATACTGTTCATGTCTTTGCATGAGATCATGTTGTTTTGAATGAAATCACAGGTGGTTCAATTGGGATTTGGAGAAAAATGTGTACAGATTTGAATCTGAAATCTCTAATTTCAGTCCAAGAGCACTAATTTTATGCAAATAAATACACGATGAAGCTTGTATATGTTTGCTTAGAATCTAAATTAGTACGAAAAGTTTCAAATTTGACATGAGGTAGCTAGTGATGAAATCTAATGGACCCACTTCTGTAAAAAGTTCTATTGGAACCATGTTTTCGGTAACAAGAGTAAATCTGCTGTCGTGCTCAATTTTGCTGCTGCCTTTTTTATTCTATGATTTATTCTCCCATTTTTTCTTTCTGTATTCTTCATTAACCAAACCAAGATAGGTAAAGAAAGAAAGAAAAAAACTAGTATCCTACTATACTTTAATAATACACTTTTCATTTCCTACTTAAATAATTGTGCCAAATCAAACCATGACATTGGTTTTGGTACTCTGAACTTTCTGCTTATTAGAAGAAAGTATCTGTAGTCTGTCTATTTATGTGTTAGCCATTGTGTAAATTCATAGTTCTTGAACCTAGTGTGTAGTACTATCATTGTTGTAATAATCAAGATGAATGTGTAGCCTTGACATCCTTTCCCCAGAAGACCAGTATTTTTCAGATCACTAAAATATTACTATTAGTAATCTACATTTGTGATTTCTTGTGCAATTATAATTTTATGGTAGACGGATTGATTTTATTTGTTTATTTATTTTCCCTTGAATCATTTCCCTAGAAAAGCAGGCTTTTCCTGTAGCTTAAATATGATCATTATTAATCTACATTTATGGTTTCTTATATAATTTTTATGGTACAGGGTGTTTACTATTATTTCTATCAAATATTCAGGAACAAGGCTGAAGCTGCTGCCCTTGCACGTAAGAAGAAAGGGTTTGGTGATGGATCAGTTGGAATGGTCTCATCACTTGTGGTGGCTGCTCTATCTGGGTAATACACTTGTTGCTGGATTACTTTCAATTCACAGTTTTTCTATTTGTACTACACTATGAAATTTGTTAATGTCCTGTTCCTATATGCTTGGTATCTACTTAATTTCTTGCCATTATTGTCCAGAACCATTTACATATGGAGTCTCAATTCTACATATACCCTAGGGTCTAGTTCTACTGTGAAGATATCTTTCAGATGCAAGTACTTTATAAGCCTGTCAGTTAGGCTGTGAGGGCCAGAATGGAGGCTTAAGCTTTTCCATTCGTGTGGCAAAATTTGTAGATCATTATAAATGGTCAAACTTTATTTTCAACCACTTATTCCAATGAACTAAAAAAATACTATCCACTTCTCCACTGGTCATTCTATCTATTTATAAATTAAACAGTTTATAAATTCTTCCAAAACAGATGGTAAATCTGGACATTCACAGGTTCACTCTAGGCATAATAAGTTTTCTATCTAACTCATTTCATTACCATTCACGAGGTCTTGATCAAGTTTGTGAAAATTTGGACGAGCATATGTTACTTCTCATGTTTGAAGTGGAGATAAACGAGAAAAAGAATTGTTCTTTTTCTTTTACAGTTGAAGCATTGCAAACTGAAGGACGCCCTTGAAACTTCATGACCTTTACCTTTACTATTCGATGCAGGGGTAGCATTAGAAGGAGGAGGCCCTAGAATAGATTTAAGGGATGAAGTGGATGCAGATGAGGTTGCTGTATGGGTGTCACTACGAGTTTTATACGGCGTCCTAGTCACTAACTCGTAATCCCAAACGAAAGAGTAGGCGTGGTCAAGAGTGGTGACGCCTCTAAGGGCAAGCTCACGTTTGAGATCATTCCTTTAGACCTTGCCTAAACCTATTTAAGGTCATGACCTCAACCTCAATAACTTGACACCTCATTCGAAACTCATCAAACTGAGCAACGTACTCGGTCACAGGTCGATTACCTTGCGTAAGTGCATTCCATTGATCCAACAAGTTACCCCTGTAAGATTGGGGTAAGTACTTATCTTGAAGGCGACGCTTCATTTTATCCCAGCTCCCAGCAGTTGGAGCATGACGTCTCTCCAGGAGATCCTTAACACTTTTTCAAAAGAGTTGAGGAGTGCTAGTTAATTTCAGACTGGAAAATTGAACTCTCCGATCTTCTGGGACTCCATACCAAGCAAAGAAGCGATTCATATCTCTAATCCATCGATTGAATATACTAGGGTCTAGACAACCATAAAATGTGGGGGCATCTAACTTAATGTTTCGAAAGAAACGCTCCTCGCGGCGAGGGGAGACTGTGTACCACGATGGTGATATTCCTGTCCTCGATCACGAACCTGATTTTCATCCCTACGATTATGTCTAACATGGTGTCGACCATCCTGTGGACGACGATGAGGTCTATTAATGGACGCTTCAGAGTTTTCAGCTTCAGTCGAATACGGGGTTAGATCTAGGGTGTTCAACCTAGCGGCTAGGGCTCTATTCTCTTCACGAATAATAGCTACCTCAGTTTGGATAGTCGCTAATTGATTTTGTAATTATTGTTGCCCATTGGCAAGTTGTGCCAATTGTCAAGTAAGGGCCTAAATTTGAGATAGGTCAA